TGCTCGTCGCTCTTGCGTCGCCGGCAGCACAGCCAGAAGGAGTAGAAGAGCAGGAAGAGGAGGTCCAGGGCGAGGCACGCCAGCGCGGCGGCCCCAAGCAGCAGCAGCGCCTGAGGGCGGTTGGGAAGTGGTGCTGGAGGTGTGGGCCCCGCTCTGGCTCTGCACCCAACTCCGGTACCAGCAAAGCCCACCGGCGCCCGCGGTCAAGGGACGGGCACACACTCCCACTGAGCCCTCCCCCAGCACCTGAGTGACATGCCTGTGGTCACCCAGACCTGTGACCCCAGGCTCACCGTCTTCAGGCCTAGACTCAGGATTCAACCCAAACGCCACCTAGTGGGCAAGACCATGAGGTGCCCTCTCCTAACCCCTCCCAAGCCCTGTGTCCTCCCCTTGGGAGCCCACCACCTCCTGGGCCCCAGAGCCCGAGGCAGACAGGGGTCCTGGACCAGGCCCTATGAGGAGGTGTTGGGTGGGTGGGGGCCCCAAGGCAGGGCCAGCCCAGTTGCTAACCAGTGGCCACTAACTGGCCACATGGCCAAGGAAGGCCCTTACTCTCCCCGAGCCTCAGTTTCCTTGTCTGTAAAAAGAGGGTGATGCTGCCTCCCCAGAAGAGGCAGGCACAGTCTTACTGAAGGCCACCCACGCCTGCTGTGGGGCTGGGCACACAGCAGGGCCCCAGGAAGGGGCTGTCAGCACCACGCCCCCACCCTCATCCTCACCCGCAGGGCTGAGACTGCGCTGGATCTGAGCGCCTTCGTGAGCTTCAGCCCCACGCAGCCTGAAGGGCCCAGAATTCTCCAACCTGGCACCAGGAAGCATCAGGGGAGGAAGGAAAACCCCCCAGCACCCTCCTGTCACTAAGGCCAGCGTCCCCCATGGGAAGCAACTGACTCGATCCAGCAGCGATGCCCACTGTGGGCTCAGCTGTGGGCTGGGCCTCCTGGGGCAGGGACACAGCCCAGAGCCTTCACCTGCTGGGACAGGCACCAGCCCTGCCCCGCCCCCGGGGAACCTCGCCCTTCAGTGTGCCTGGTCCGGTGCTCACCCCCATTCAACTGATAAAGAAACTGGCTTCAGAGAAAGTATGGAGGAGGGACCCGCGTGTCCACATCACAGCCCTTCGGGGAGTCTCAGTACCCATGCTTTGTCAGGGTGGGAGTGGTGGCTGGCACAGGACTGCAGGGCAGCAGGCTGGCCCCGACCCTGTACAGCTCATGAGGGGGAGCCGAGGAAGTACCACAGAGGTGCCCACCCACTGGACACCCCTCAGCTGCCATGCTGGCACTGCTGCAGAGACAGCCAGACCTCGGGGACCTGGAAACACCCTCACCCCACATCCAAACAGTCAGCAGTGTGGCCGTGAGCCTGGGGAGTCACTGGGGTGCAGAATGCCCCAGGTCCACCTGCCCACTGCAGGGCCCCCTTGGGACCAGAGGCTCAGCCACAGAGGCACTAGGACCGCTGGATCATAGCCCGGGTGCCCAGCAGCTGTCTCCTAGGAGACAGTTGCCAGGCAGCAGACATAGGATGGCACTCCCTGCCTTCCCAGGAGCCAGCTGGCCCCAAAGGCCTCCTGCCAGGCCCACCATCCCTGGCTGACCCCTGCACCCGAGGCAGGGCTCTCTCACCTGACCAGGGTGGTGCTGACCAGGGCATGCACCTACAGCCATGGTCCAAGCCAAACTGGGGGCTGACTTGCTGTCTGGAGACTGGGCCTTGCCCCCTCCAAAGGCACAGGGTGGGGACACCCTCTTGGGGAAGGCCAGGTCACCACCACGAGGCTGCAGCACAGGCCAGAGGGCCTGACAGGCCCTGACCACCCCTGCTCACCGACTGGGTAGGGGAGGGAGCAAGCCCAGTGGGGCTGGCTCCAAAGCCACTTCGTCAGCTCAAGGCTCCCTAAAGGTCCCAGGGTGCTCACATCAAAGGGGACTCTGAGGCGGCGGATGGGGGAGCTTGTCCAAGGTCACACAGGGAGGTGGGCCAGGCCACAGCAGAAGGGAATCAAGGGCCTGCCGGAGGGCCAGGCGCCAGTCACAGGGGAGGATGCTCACCTTAAGGAGCCTAGTATCAGGCACAACCTCCATCCCACCCAACACAGCCCGGCACGAGGCGTTAACATCCGGGGGCTGGGAATAGCACTGTCTTGTGGGTCGTGCCCTCACACACACACACAAAGCGGGACACCAGGCATAGATGCTGCAGGCCCTGCCGGTCCCTTTCTCACAGGTCAGAGGCAAAGGGCAGAATAAACCGCCGCCTCCCACAACCTCAGTCAGACCACAACATGCGCCACGTCTCCACTGGGACTGAGCCCCCTTCGATGCCACAGGCACCCCGGCTCCCAGGGTCCCACAGACCCTGTCCACCAGGCCCATCTGGGCCCCAGGCTGGCAGCATCCCCGCCCCACGGCCTCCAGCAGCCCTCAGGCCAGCACTGCCACCCTGCCCCACCTCGTGCCACCCCTTCTCCCGTCTGGTCCCCCCCATCACTGTGGGCCGGTCTGGGAGAGCAGGCTCTACCCTCAAACCCAGAACACAGCTGGCTCCGAGCTGATCCTTAAATGAGCACACCTACACACCTCTAGCGAGGAAATAGCCCCTGGGGCGAGGAAGCCAGGGTGGGGGCACAGGGCAGGCGGCACCCAAGCTGGGGCCCTGAGCCGACCAGCCTGGCAGCGAGGCCAGCGCTCACGCAGTCAGGACTCATCAAAGACCCAGACCACAGCCCAGGTGGCGCCAGGACCACCCACTCCTGTTTCCCAGGTAAGAAAAGCGAGGTAAGATAAGCATCACTGGCCAAGCAAGACCCCAGCACCTGGGGGGACACGCCAGCGCCTGGCCCGGCAGGCGCCCAGCAGAGGCGGCTCCCGTCCTTGGGGCTGCTGGGCCGGTGGAGGAAGAGGGGTGAGGCCTTCTAGACGGGAGCCAGGCCATGAAGAACAGAAAAAGCGCAACAGGCAGCGACCCGAGCAAGTCAGGGAGGGCACGGGCTGGTCCAGGGGTCAGAGTCACCGCGGCCGACGGCACCCGGAAGGCGCCGGGCCTGGGCACCTGCGGGGCGGGCAGGCGGGAGGCACGCCTGGGTCTCCTGCAGCTTTGATTTGTTTTTTGTTGTTGGGGTTTTTTTTAAATCTTTTTTTGGTTTTCTTTTTTTTTCAAACCACAAACCATACTACCTTTATAATTAAAACAAAACCAGAAACCTGGTAGTAGCTCTTTTCAGTTGTGTGTGGGAGGCCCCTGGCCTGCGCCCAGCTCTGCCACGTGGGAGCCCGTGCGGCCCGGCAGCCCCAGCAACTCCGCCGTGGGACGTGACATTCCACGGCCCCTCCCGGTGTCACATGGGAGAAGGGCCCTGGCAGCCACGAAGGCGAGAAGTTGAGCCCCTCTTGTCTGTGGGGATGCTGTACCGTCCCTGCTGGTGCCAGTCCTCCAGGAGCAGAGACCGAGGGGACGGACACCCCGGGTCTTGCCGCCGGAGGCTGCTGCGAGCTGCCTGCTGCTGGCCAGCGGTGTGGGGGAGGGCGGCCCGGCTCATGGGGGAACCAAAGTACTGCAGGTCAGTGCTGCTTGGCCTGGTTTAGAATGTGACCACGAGTCAGTGACTTTAGCCTCTGTGCCTCAGTTTCCCCACATATAAAACAGAGACAGTAATATCACTGTCCTACCTAGAAGGGTTACTGTGAGGATGGAACAAGCTAATACCTGTAAAGACTTCAAACAGCGCCTCCGTGGGGAGCGGGGAGGGGGCGCTGCTCCCAGACCAGCTCTGCCCCGCCGCAGCCTGGTGGGCTGGGGACAGGGAGTCGGTGTCCTGGCTGCTCAAAGACGAGGTGAGAGTGTCCACGCCCACACACGCATCTCTACGCCCGTACACTCACACGTGCACCCACACCCGTCCATGTGCACGTGTCACCGCTGAGCTCCCAGCGGTGTGGTAGCAGCAGCCTGTGGCTGGAAGCTCTGTGGCTGTGGGCGGGCAGGTGGGGAGGGGGTCCCACGCGCCTGGGCACCGGACACCTGCCAGCGACGGGGAGGGGGAAAGGCTTCGGCCAGCCAGGCGCAGCCTCACTCACAGGCACCTGCCTTGGGGTCCGGAAGTCACAGCCCTGGGGGAGAAGTCTCCCACCCCACCCCGCCCCCCTCCAGCCTCACAGAGCTGAGCCGAGTAACCGGCGAGCGTGGCCAGGGGCTCAGACAGGCACCGAGGGCAGAGGGGTTGCTCCCAGAGGCTCTCCTGGGGGCAGTGACAGGCACAGGCCTGGGTGCTGCATGAAAAGCCAGGGATCTGGGCAGCTGCAGTTCTGTCTACACAGCTCCAGAGAGCCCTTCCTGACAGTGAGGACAGGGACCGACGTCCACCGTCTACGTGCTGGGTCTGTCTGCCCACACCTCCGCCAGTGGGTCCTGGAAAGGCCTCACTAAGCTCATCAACTTACCAAGGGTGGTGGCCCCTGAGGCCTGGCCCACAGTGGGCGCTCAGAAACACAGGCCCCTGCCACCCACCCCCAGCTGACAGGCCGGGGCAGCTTCCTCTCTGGCAGGATGCTCTCCTCCTGGACAGGCTTAGCCTTAAACAGTGACCCCAGCGGGTGGCTGCGGGGCCTAAACCAGGACAGCCACACACAGCCCCGACTGAGAGGCGACAGCACCCTCCTAGTTTACACAGGGGAGGCTGGCACTGGGAGCACGGGGCCCCGCCCACTGCTGCCGGCGAGCAGAGCCCGTGCCCATGGGGTGCCCGGCACTGGGCAGCTGTATCCTCCTGCCCAGGGTCCCGGGTGCCTGCCCTGACCTCTGCCCTTGTCCCTGTGGCCAGATTCCCAGAGAGCAGCCTTCTGCTGGCACTCCCGTGGTGGCCCCACCTCCCCTTTCCACGGCCTGGCTTCCCCTCTGAATGGGAAATGTCTGATCAGCATCGGGGCTCTGACCAAATGGAACTTTCCGTCTGCGATGGAAGTGATGTCAGCAATCGGTCAGGCGAGGCGAGACACTGGGGCCCACATCCTGACCGCTGGCCACGGCGCTGGCCTCCAGCCACCTAAGGCGCTCCTGTAGCGCCCATGCTGTGAGGACTCGGCACCGACACACGTGCCCAGGGCGGGGGCTGGGGGCGCTCGGTCCACCCACCCCTCCTGCCGCTTCTCAGCCTGGACCACCCCATCCTCCCCAAGGCCCTGCAGCCTTTGCCACAGGGTGTATCCACCGAGGAGGCCCCCATCCACCTCTGGGTCCATACACTCCCCCGAAGCCCCCACCTGCTCTGGAAGCACCCACCGGGCCAGAGCTCAGGGTCTGAAGCCTCACCGCTTCCTAGGTAAGGCCCAGGCCCACATCTGAGGCCCTTCGGGGGGCCTAACAAGCCCCCGCCCCAAGCAAGTCCTCCAAGCCCGGCAAGGGCACAAGGGGCGCGGGACGCCGGGGCAGCAGTGTCCCCGTGTGAGCCTCGGCTGGGTCCCTGTGCGAGCAGAGGGAGCCCCAGCGCAGCCTTGGACTTGCTGGCAGTCTGGGTGCAAAGAGAGACCCAGGTCAGACTGGAGAGGGCCACAGCGCGCCATTAAATCTTACTAACAAAGCCGTGCGGGGGGGCTTGGCTCCACTGCAGATGGGAGGGCATGGCAAAAGGCGGCGTGGGGCTGCAAGTCTGCCCCTTCTCGGACCCACTCACGGCTTGTTCCCGCCAGCTCCCTTCCATGGGACTGCGCACCGCACACAGTGCCAGCTCAGGCTGCCCTGCGATGCTCTAGGCCACCAGGCGGGGAGGGCCCTGCGTGACCCTGGGCAGCACAGCCGTGTGCCACCTGCACAGGCAGCTCCAGCTAGGTGTCCTGGCAGTACCTGGCATGGAAGCCCGCAGGGGAGTGTGCCACACATGGTGAGCACACCAGAACCACAGACATGCACCCCACCCCTCACACCCCTCCTGGGAGAGCAACCACCGTGCCAGCAGCAACCGACATGGGGGCTGGCCTGTCCACTCAGCCCCTCTGCAGGACACCACAGCCCACAGCCAGGCTGGAGAGCCCTTGCCCCTCTGGGAGACCCTCACAGAGCTTCTGATGGGGAGTGTGGGGCTACGGCTGTCCCCAGCCACAACCCAAGGCCACATCCCAGCCACCCTGCTGCCCCAGCCTCAGTGGCGTGTGTCCCTGGCTAGCCTGCTTGTGGGAGATCACGTGCACCCGGCACCGGTGCCACAGGCAGGGGAGACCGGGGACTAGCAGCCCAGGGGTGACTCGGGAAGGCTCCAGGGAGTTGGGGACTCCCTCAAGATCACATGGCTAGCGTGCTGGAGCCAGGATCCAGGGATGTGACCACAGCCTGAGGTCCCACCGCTGCCGTGGCATGAGGAACTAGCGAGGCCTGCGAGCCTGCCCTGCTACAGAGCGGCCTCTGCCCCGCCCTGTGCCAACCCTCCCTGGGAGGCAGCCTGGCCAAGTGGTAAAGGGCAAGGCTCCAAAGAGGAGACAAGTCCAAATTCCACCAGGGATCCGGGACCTCACCATCCTGTACTCACATGCCCATGTGTGGGTCGCACCTGCCTCCCTGGAATAGGGGGGCCGGACTCACCACACACAGGGCCCTCAGCCCAGAGCTGGCCTCTAGGCTGTGGAACTTCAGCAAGCATGTGCCTGTACTCACACCAGCCCTGGCACTGGGCCCTGGGGACATGGGACCCAACCGGCACAGCCCCTGCGGGGCCGGGCTGGCAACTCTCAAGACCCCAGAGTGTGGGCCTGGAAGCTCAGAGGCTGTTGGGGCCAGGCAGGCTGGGGGAGGGGTGCAGAGACTTCAGAGGTGTCCCCTAACTGCCATCACGGGGTCAGCAGGGCACTGTGAGGCATGGGGGAGCACTCCCAGAGAGGGACGGTGAGAGCAAGCGCCCGGCACAAGGCGCAGGCTGCAGCCTTCATCCTGAGGGGCCCTGGCAGCTGTGGCCTGGCGAGGGTCAGCCCTGAGCCCACAGCTCCTGACAGCAGAGCAGGGCCCTGGGGGATAGGGCTGGGGCACGCAGCGAGGTGGGAGAGGGGAACCAGGGGCCCCTCAGTGCCTCCAGGGGACACCCACCCCAGCCCTGGGACTGCCACGGGCCCTTCTCCAGAGGAGGAAGCCAGGGAGGGGCGTCCAGGAGGCTGGCGGGGTCCCACATCCTGAGGCACTATCTAGGAACCCATACATGTCCTGGCTGGAGCCCTGGGCCTGGGAGAGGAAGGGGAGAGGCTGCCGCAGCTCCTGTGTCTGGGGGACACGCACCACAGGCGCTGCCCACTCCCCTCGGGCTGGCCATCTGCCCCAGCACCCTCTGCGGCCCAGCTCCACACAGCCTTGTTGGTCCCCAGAACTCCTGGGGCAGGGGGGCGTCCACCATCCAGAGGAGGAGTCTGGGGCCCCCACATTGAAGCATGGAGGCAGGGTCTGAGCCAGCACGGGCCTTCTAAGGGAAGTTCTGGAGCCCCCACCAGAGCCCCCACTTCCTGGGCTGGGCTGGGTTGGGCTGGGCGGGTGCAAGGGCTGGGGCCGCGGTGCTGAGCTGGCTGTGCGGCCCGCAGCCGCCCCCACCCCCACCCCCAGCGCACTTGGCCGTGGCTCCCAGATGTCGGCCAGAAATTAAAAACAGCTTTTCCACCAAGCTGGGCTTAGGTTTCACAAATTCCATGCTGGTGAGCTCGTGGCCATGCCTGGAGAAAGCACAGCCAGCAGCCAGCGTGCCGGGGCCCAGGAGGGGCCCAGCCTTTTGTCCAAGCCCCCCACGCTGAGACCTAGTTCCCGGCACCAGGCTGCACACACATTCACCAGCTGCAGGTCACCTCCTCAGGGGCACATGCCACGCTGCCCCCCAGGAACCAACAGGACAGACGCCCAGTGAGGCAGGATCGGGCTGAAGCCTCAGAGAGCAGCTCTGGTCGGTCACCCCCCAGGCCCAGCACCCCCTCTGCTGCCCTCCCGGACCATGGGCCAGGTGGAGGAAGGCTAAGGCCCCACACTGCTGCCCACACCGGCTCACAGAGGGAGCAGACACCAAAGAGCCCAGCACCGGAGCTGCCCTTGAAGCAAAGAGCATGTCTATTTTGGTCCCAGTGCCCTAACTCATCTCCCAACACGACACTCAGAAAGCCTGTCTGCAAGAGCTTCTCCACCGGCCACCACTGGGAGCCCAGGTGACAGGCCTCAGATGCAGGCAGGAGCCACCAGACAGGCCTAGTCACATCATCAGGCTAGACCAGAGTCCAGCACCAGGGCTCGCCTCCACCAGGCAGATGCGCCCCGGGAACTCAGCCCAACCCCCGACTCCAGACTCAAACTTCTGGAGTGCCCCTCCCAGTGGCCAGGAACCCCGCCCAGAGCGCACGGGGCCAGAGGAGGAGTGCCAGGTAGGGGGACACTGGGCCTGCCACTCTTCTCAGAGGCAGAAGGAAGTGGTCACTCAGGTTTTGGGCAGGCAGGCCTCACCCTGTGCCCTCGGCCAACACAGGACAGTCCAGCCATAGAGGGTGCCTGTGGACGAAACCAAGCCTCGCTTTGGCACACCTGTCCCTCAGAGCCCACCTGCCTCCTGTGGGGACCAGGCCTCAGCCAGTCTCCTGGGGAGGGGGAGGGGGAGGGGCACACCAATGGGGGCTGCGGGTGACACACGCGTGCAGGCCTGTGTGCGTGCATGAGCCCATCCGGCACGTAACAAGCCCAGGCCATGGGCAGGGGCAGTGGGGAGGGAGGCTCCCGAGGCCCTTCTCCCACACCCCACCTGGCCCACCTGCCGACCCCAGCATGTCTCGGCCCCACAGGGCCTCGTCACGCTGAGCTGCAAAAGCCCGACTGTGGGTCTGAGTCCTCCCCAAGACCACGGGAGGTCCCGGAGAGCCACCTAGGGGCCAGTGTGTGTCCTGGCCAGCACAGGGCTCAGGCAGGCTCCCTGCAGACCCCAGCAGGCAGCACAGGCACAGCCAAGCACTCCTCGGGCCCTGCTGCACCCACACCGCCCTGTCTCGTGCCCCAGTCCCTCGGGGGGCCACGTGAGGCCCCTTCCGTATCCGTGATCCCGTCCCTGGGCTGCAGATTTGCTTCCTCTTCTCCAGCCAAAGACTCAGCAGAGCCGCCTTGGCGGGTAGGGGGTCTGGTCCTGACCCCCGCTGAGGCTTCCTGAACTGCACCTGCTGGCAGGGCTCAGGGAGCCTCCTGACCAGACCTGGAAACCACAGGGGCTGTGTCCACGGGCTGGGCATGCTGACTGGAGCCGGGCCTCCCGTGTCTCCTGGCCCACCGACGCTAGCTGGCCAGTGGCCTCCGGTTCACTTCTGTAGAGGCAACAGTGCCCACCTCCCAGGGTCACCGTGTGGCTTCCCAGAGAAATGCTTCTAAAACAAACAGCACGCGTCTCTTCGGCAGAACAGCTGTAGCTCAGGGACAGGAGCCACAGAGCACCCCGGGCCAGAGCCAAGGCAGGGGCTCCCCCGCCTCCCTCCAGTGCATGGGCCCTGCACCCCTGATGCCCAGCTTACAGCTGCTGTCCAAGCAGGGCTGCGCTAGGAGCTGCCACGCTGCCCCTCAAAGCGCTCTGTCCCATTTGGCACGTCTGTCACTTGCAGCCCCAGAATCCTAACCCTGGTGCCGTGGGATGCTGGGTAAGCATCGAGAGCTAAGGACCAAGGACGTGGTCCAAAGACCTGATGTTTAAAAGCAGGTGACAAGTTCTAGTCTTAGGTGGCAGCCCCCGCCCCCCGCCCTCCAGGTACAAGCACAGAGGCTGACTCCAGCTGAGGGGCTGCTTTCTTGTCTCCATTTTCCAAATGTTCCATGAATGTGTATCATCTTCGTAACTAGCAGAGAGGCAATAAATGCTGTTTTCACCAGAGCGAATTTCCTTCTGATTGTGGGGAAGATGACAACAGGGCCAGCCGCACCCACAGGCACATGCCGACAATGCTTGAGTCACAGCGTCAAACCAACGTGCTGTGGTCCCTGCTGGGAGACTCCTGGCCCCTGAGGGTCCTGAGACCCAGAGTTCCAATCCCCCGTAAGTGGCCCTCCAGGCTGCACTCACGCACCTCCAGCACAGAGCACACACCACCTCCAAGGCAGCACGTTCAGACCAGAGAGACTCCCTTATTGAGGGCTGAGGCCCAGGCTTCTCTCTGCCTCAGGGCCTTTGCATGTGCAGTTGCCACTGCCTAGAACCCTCTTTCCCAAGGTCTCCACATAGCTACCTCATATCTTTAGAGTCTCAAAGGAAACACCTGAGCATTCAGGGCTCTAACAGGAAATGGGTTCACCACCCGCCAAGCTCCAGGTGAGTCCTCACCCTCTGCGTGTTCACAGCCTGGCTCACAGCCTCCACAGCAGCCGAGGTAGCACCTCCTACAAGAAGCCTTCCTTGACTGACTGTTGGGCTCCTGTAGGCCTTGTCCTGACCTGAGCACAGCACTACCACACCAGGCCACAACCACACCAAGTTCTCCTCTGCCTCTTCCAGCTTCCCCTGAACTGGCGGAGATAGTGAGCAAGAATGAGAGACTGAGGGCAGAGACAGCGAGTTTGACCTCTGCCTCAGGACACCGGGGCTGTGGGAGGCTTGGGACAGGGTTATGGGGGGGGAGTCGGGAAGAGTCGTAGGAGTTAAGGGGCAGAACCCCCTAACTAAGTGAAGCCCAAAGAGGTGGATGGACCCACCCAAGGTCACACAGATGGGAAGCTACACAGCTGGGGCCCAGACCTGGCACCCCGCCAGCCAGGCATCCACACTCCAGCCTGCAGAGAACACTCTGAGACTCCTGCCTGCAGCCAGGACAGCCTTGACCATCGCCATGGAGCAGAGGTTCATCTCAGGCTGCATCAGGTCACCGGCTATGCCACCACCAGGGAGTCTCCTCCCTCCTCTGGGCCTGAGCCCCTCCCCTGTAAAAGGAGTGCTCCACCCATCAGCTGCCCAGGTTTGGGGAGCTCCTGGAAATGGCCCAGCCCCAGGGGAGCCAGGCCAGCAGCCAGGAGGGCAGGTGGGGGATGGAGCGGCACAGAGCAGACCCCAGAAGCCCCTCTGTCTTCCAGCACCTGCCAGCTCACAAATCCCACCAGCCCCTTGCCCACGGCAGCTCCCCGCTGCAGGCTGTCCTTCCAGCAAACACCATGAGCCCCTGGGAGGCAGCTGTAATGGCCAGGGGCCCCTCCGCTCCAGAACGGAGGCCATGAGAATGTGGGAGCCTGAGACGCTTGGTCCCACGAGAAACCACCAGCCTCGGGATGCAAAATCCCAGCCTAGCCTTGCGGAGGCCCCAAGCCCCCCGTGCAGGGCCAGCCAGGCCTCTGAGAGCTCTCAGAACAGCCCCCATTAGCTCCTGATCCCTGCAGTCACATCCCCCACAGGGGGCCAGCCACGGGGGACCCAAGAAACCCCTGCCTCCCAAGGCTGATGCTGGCTCCTTGTGTGAGAAAAGGCTACTGACAGCCCCAAACAGTGCCTTCAAACAGGGCCTGGCCCATGGCGTTTCCAGTGGGTGGTGGGGGCAGTAAACAGCAAAGAAGGACAAACGCTGGACTTCCCAAGCCACACCACCCCCCACTCCTGCACCAGGCCCCGCCTTTCTCCTGGATGGCCTAGGAAGCAGAAGCCTCCTCCCCAGCTGGGCACAGCCCACGTGGCAGGAGAGGACTGCCAGGCCCCAGCAGCCCAGGTGGGTGCCGGCCACAGATAGGCCCCCAGGCCAGGAGGATAAGGGGTCTACCATCCACCAGTGGGACGACGGTAGTTGTCCCCCAACAGCTACGAATGCTCCACCAGGGGAGGCAGGAAGCGGCCCCAGACGACGGCCAGGCTGACCCACGGCCCACTCACTCAGAAAGGGAGCCCGTGGGCTGCACGCCCAGCACAGAGCAGGCGCACAGGGCTCCCACTTCCCCACCGACCCTGCAAAGAAGGCGCGCCAGCCTGAACTTCAGGATGAGAGTCATCGAAGGCTCAGAGAGGTCAAGCGCTTGCCCAAAGCACCAGCACAGGAGGGCAGGGGCAGGACGCACGCCCAGGTCTGGCTCGCTCCACAGCTCTGTGCCAGCAGTGGAGGTGGCGGGGGATGGAGACAGGCTGGTTTCCATACCGTGAATTATTCAGTGGCTAATTCTGCTCCTCAGAGAGGAGGCAGGAGAGAGGGTGAGTCAGAGCCCCTCCACAGCGGAGGCGAACGGTGCTCTCGGAGGAGGCCGGGGGCAGAAGCCAGGGTCCTCTCGGGGGCAAAGGGCCCTGCAGGAGGCCAGGCTGAGCGGCGGTGGGGGGCTTGGCCACCATGCTTGATGCCTCCACTAGCCGCAGGCCTAGGCCCCTCACTCACTACCCACCACATGCCAGGGCGCCCAGGAGGTCAGGAGGGATGGCAGCCAGATCAGTCATGGTTGGCAGCATGTGCAGGTGGCAGCCCACGGGCCAGCAGGAAAGCTGTGCGGGCACCCCCGGTACCCCTGGAGCTTTAGAACTGGCAAGTAGCAGAAAACTTCCTTAAGTAAGAGACATTGTCCTGTTCTGTGGAAGCAGAGCCCTGGGGACAGATGTGACAGAGCCATCACAGGTGAAGCTCCTGGGACAAACAGGAACAGCGTGGCCTCCAGCCCGGGCTTCCAGAACCTGGGCACATGGCTTTATAAGAACCCTGCTGTCCCCGCGTGTGCTTGGGCCAATCCCTTGCCCCCTTTCTAATCTGCTTAGAAACAGATCAGCAGGAC